CCTCCACCCCCCTCTGCCAATCCCTGCACTGGCTTTCAATCGCCCAGAGGATACAATTCAAAATATTAACAACCACTTACAAAGCCATCCGCAACTCTGCCCCCGGCTATATCTCCAACCTTGTCTCTACGTATCACCCTAACCGTCCCCTCCGCTCCTCCCAAGACCTCCTGCACTCTAGCTCCCTTGTCAACTCCTCCCAGGCTCGCCTACAGGACTTCACTAGAGTCTCCCCATTCGGTGGAACTCTTTACCTCAACCTGTCCGTCTATCTCCTACTCTGACTGCCTTTAGGTGATCCCTTAAGACTCTTCTCTTCAGGGAAGCTTATCCAACCTAACCACTGAACTGTCAATGTCTCAAACAATTCATCCCCACACAGCTCCCTCCTCATGTATCACTGGCCCCTCCCCTTTTAGATTGTAAGCTCTCAGGGGCAGGGCCCTCCTTACCATCTTGTCTTGAATTGTATTGAGATTGTAATGTCTTCCTTATATTGGTAAAGTGCTGCGCACACTGTTGGCACCATATAAATCTTGAATAATAATAATAATATACCGGATACAGGGACGGATTAGATTTACAATAAATAACATATTTGTGAACGGTAAGAAATTATCTTTCTAAAGATGCATAAAAGTTTCTGCCCGGAGTCCCCTAAACCTAAGTCTGCATGGGAGGAAATATTTGTCCTACACGCAACCAGCTTTCCTGTCCAGAAACAAAAGAATAAAGCCATCTGTCCCTTTAAACGTTAAACTCACCCACCGAGATGGAGTTAGGTACGCTTTATCAGTGCAGTACATAACCCTTATACCCTTTATCTGCTTCTTATTTCATACTGTTGGTCCTACCCGGACTTTTAGTTCTTGAATACTTTCTATTCGTTTTGTATTAATGAAAATACCCTAATAAAAACTTATTGAATATAAAAGTTAAACTCAAGCTTTGTTGACAAAGAATTAATTTTATCAAAATCTATACGGCAGATCCTTCTCTGTGAATGTTTACATGAATCACAATCAGTATAATCACGCTGGCTGGCACACGATTAGTATGACACAAACACTACAATCCCCTGGCATTGGGCACAAATCACCATGTCTCTAAGAACAAATACTCAATGTTTCAATCCTACTGCAGGGTATATCTGTTATTTGAATTCAAGCCCAATGCACAAATCTGTGAAAAGCCAATGAAATAAGCAAGGGGGTGTGGATTCTAGGAACACCCATCTACAAATGGAGTGCCGTCTTTTACTAGAAATAAAGTATAATTTGTAGAATACATTCCCTGTTATCCCTCTTCATTTTCTATACATTTTGCACTATTTCTGTTTAATAGTTTATTGCGTTTATAGCACATAAAAAAAAAACGTGGAATCTAAATACACAAACACACAATCTGATCCTTTAGGCATCATTGTAAGCAAAAGCTAGACAACATGGCTGACTTGTGAACACAATCCAGCTTCTCTCAGTTCACAGACGATACAAGAGGCGACCTCTGACCTCTGTCTGACCTTGTGTGCTCTGCGAGAACTAATTTATAACTGATCAGATCAGCCAAATGAAAAGTATTTACAAAGCTCTTCCAGAAATAAGATAAATAGAACATTCCTGAGCGATGCCATTATCTCCCCTCCCGGATGTGACACACAGAGGTCAGGGGGACGTCAGACGTGGCATCCAGGAGGAATTCCACATTTCTGACAATGATCATTGCTTTATTATTAACCCTTTTGTGGCCAGACATCACTGATGCTTAGAGGCCCAGAACAAACTTGGCAGCTTCAGTACGTGTCGGTTCATTTGCCATCATCTCTCACTAATCTGTCTCTGCCTTAGGGCATTACATTACTTTTAGGGACATGGAAGTCTTTTTATTTGGTACAATGTTTTATGTATACACACATGACTATCTAGAGCCGCCTTTCTCATCCAAGGGGAACCTTCTCCACTAACTACCAAAGAAAGGGATTTAAGGGGACACGTTTCCTCGGACATTACAATTTTCACTGTCTGCACTTCTTTACTGGCATTCATTATTTTTTGTTTTGTAGGGCTGCAACCAACTAATTGATTAATCGATAATGAGAATAGTGGTCAACTATTCTCATTAGCGATTAGTTGGTTGGATAACCTAGCTCTCTCCTCCACATTGGGAGGAGGGCATAGCAAGCAGTGGGCGGGTGCAATAACCAATTTGAAATGGCCAATATCAGGCTGGCTATTGCACCCGCCCACTACCTGCTGTATTTACATTCAGCTGCTGTCTATGGAATCTTGCCACTGGCAGCTGTCATTCCCGGGCTGAAGCTATTCAAGCTCCATGTGCTCACAATACAAATAGTTGACCACAATTAATAAAATAAAAAAATAAAAAATGTTTTAAAAGGTGGGGAAAAAAGTAATTTTCGGTTTTGGCCTGACACATTCTGCTACAGGAGGTGTGTTGCAGTGCCCGTTCATTTCAATGGCACCCCAAACGCACCTCCCACCCACAGTGAGATTGCCCGCACTGGGATGCATGGTACAGCGATGCCATGCGTTTCAGTGCAGTGTGATTGCAAAAAATTGTGCATGCAGTTTTATTCTGAAGTAAACTTTATGTTTGTAACTCTGCATTTGTGTATTTTATTTTAAAATGAAGGATGGCATTTATGTTTAAAATTTGTTATCCGATTAAACGAATAAATAATCATTAGTTGCAGCGCTAGCTTTCAGCATTATTACTGAAAATTATTTTGTTATATAAAGCAGCCCTGGGTGTCAAACAATTAAGATACATCACATTCTTTTTTTGTTCATGCCAATCTTCCTGGAGATGTAGATATAGTAGTTATTAGCAAGTGATGCTGGAGAACCCAAAATTGTTTCAGGAATTCCTATGTGTTAGGAAAGTTATTTTCTGGGCGTATAGGATGCCTGCGTCCTCCTGCATACATATTCTTGAGACCTGTTGCTCACATTGCAGCCCAGGGGCCACATGTAGCCCTTAGGGCAAGGGTGTGATCTTTAGCAGTCTCATGTGTCCCTAGCGCATGACTGTCCACTCAGCCAACAGATACTATAGCATGGGTCCCTGAATGGCGGACCATGGTCCAGATATGGACCAAGTATACAGACCGCGATCGCCGACTGGGCTATGGCTGGCATTGGATGTGCCGGCTTTTGAGGCAGGCGCATCCACAACCCACCGCAGGTCCAAATTCCTCCTCACTCATTGGATGCAAAGACCGTAGCATTCCTAGCAACCAATAATGTCAGCTTTTTCCAACCCCCAGCATTAAGGGAGGACGGAAGAGTATTGTCTTCTGTCCTTACCTACAGCCCGAAGTCTGCCCCACCTCCTCCCATCCCTGCCTCCTCCTATTCCCTCCCATCCCTGCCTCCTCCCATCCCTGCCTTCTCCCAGCACTGCCTCCTCCTATCCCCTCCCAGCACTGCCTCCTCCTATCCCCTCCCAGCACTGCCTCCTCCCATCCCCTCCCAGCACTGCCTCCCGGTTCCATAACAAATTAATGTGACAGCATTTTAAAAGGGGCACTCTAGGGACAACTATATCCCTATGTAAGAGGGCACTATGATGGGGACAATTACTTATTAGTTGTCCTCATAAGAGTGCCCTCCCCTGCAGCCTGAAGTCTACCCGCCTCCCAACCTTAAATTAATGTAACAGCGGCGTTTTAAATGGGCACTCTAGGATCAACCAGTGTAAGGGGGTACTCTGATGGGGACAAGCAATGAAAGGGAGCAATTATTATTATATAGCATGCCCCCTTACATCACTTGTCCTCATCAGTGTGCCCCCTTACATTGGGTGTCCCCATCAGAGTGCTCCCTTTTTTTGTGGCACTCCGATGGGGACAACCAATATGGTGGGGGCACCTAATATAAGGGGGTTAGGCACAACTGATGTAAGGGGGCACTCTGATGGGGACAACTGATGTAAGGGGGCACTCTGATGGGGACAACTGATGTAAGGGGGCACTGTGATGGATGATGTACTTTTTTTTTAAGTGAAGCTGGCCATGATGTAGTACAACTGCATCACACTGCGCTGTGCCTATAGAACCTAATGAAATATCACTTGTGACATTTCAATGAAGTTCTAAAAAAACATTGATGCACCAGCACTGAATCTGGAAAAACACACTAGCAGCTGTGCTTTGCAGTGCAGATGCTGGTGTGAAAGTAGACTAAATGGCGGACCGCGGTACGGACACAAACTGAATGACCGTTCTGTCTGGACCACGAATCGGGCATCTGCTCGAAGAGAATTTGGGTCACTGGACCTCCTTGAATTTGAATTCACTACCTCTGTTCTATAGCATGTTTACAGTCTCTGATTATCTCTGGTAGCATGCCTATAGTCTTTGTCCATCCTCTTTTGCATGTGTCAGCAGAAAGATTTATGCAGAATTACATTACTTGAAAATTATGGGTGATGTCAGGGGCTGCACTTGAGGTCCCTTATAACCAATGCTCTAGAGCATCTTCCACAAAGTAGTTTTCTACAAAGATACTGGTTACAACTGCTCTGTGGTATGCAACCATATGGGAAGCACAGGTTCAATCTAGCACTCACCTATGGAAGATGACTGAGGGCTGATCAGTAGATCTTCCTGCACTTGCTCACTGCCAGGGACAGTTTGCTGGTCACTCACTGAACTCTGAGATGCACTGACGGGCTGAGACACTTCTTCGTGTACCTCTTCATCACTCAACCTCTCTACTTTGACCCGAACGTCTTCCTCCATTACCAGCGGAGAGCTGACTTTAGTGCTTTCGCACGGTACATAATCAGTCACCCTCCTGGTTACTTCGGAAGGTCCAGGAAGTTCTAATGTTCTGGATTCAATCTGCTTCACCTTCTCAGACTGTAACCGTCGATCGATGCCAAAGGGGAAAGTCCAGGGAAAGGCATGTGATGAGTCCACAGGTTGACTCCGTGCCTCTGTGTAAGAAGGAGTTGGGTTTAGAACCTGTGGAGAGCTAGTCTGAGTGCCACACTTTAATGGGCTTTCCGGGGACATGACAATATAGCTTTTCCGTTTGCGTCGGGACTCTCGGCAGATGGGAATTGTCCTCTCGACCACGCTGCACTCTGAGGACACTGGGGAAAGGCTACCGTCTCGGAAGTTGTTACAATTGGCTGTGTTCTCCTGTCCAGTATCAAGAACCTTCTCTTGTTGAGTATTCCATAAGATGCTGGACTTCATGAACTCTGAGCATGTGCTGGCCACGCTGAACATTTGCATGTAGCTGGCTGCAGCTAACACATCAATAATGTTTTCTGTATTGATAGACAGGGTTGCTGTGTAGGCATACTCCAGCAGAGGGATGAATCCTGTCACCGTTACGTGGTGCAGGTCGAGTACACATTGGGTGCTTTCTTCCGCCTGACCCACCAACTTGGTACGGAAGAACTCGCTGCAGGCAGCAAGCACCACTTTATGTGCTCGAAAGATCTTATCCTGGACCCGTATGGTGATGTCACAGAAGTGTCCATCATTACGCAGCATATTCAACTTTCCCAGCATTTCTTGGCTGTGTGCAGGAGAACTGTGCGTAAACGTCTTCACCCCCATCTTCATGTACTCCAGGGGGTGTCTCTTGCACCTATACAGAAAAACTTGCAGCAGCTTTGAGTCTGAAAGGAGGAAAAACAAACACTAGAATTAGAATATATTCCCAAGTCCCATTCCTACGCCCACTGCTTAATTATCCTTTTATGCTTATGAACCCTATTCTAATTGGAGGATAAATGTATTAATAGCCGGAATATAACACTGATCATTATTAATGCATGTTGTAGCACCCCCAAAACGAAGCAAGGAAGGACATTTTAATAAGATATACAAATGCTTCAGAGTATAAAAGAAAAAAAACCTGAAAGATAGGGCTGCAACAACTAATAAATTAAGTCGATTATAATCAATAATGCAAATCGTTGGCAATGATTCTCATCATCCATTTGTTGCCGCCGCTCTGCTCCTCCTTTCTCCTCCCTGCTGGTGCTGGCTGCAGCGCTCTGTGTCCCTTTCAATCCCCACTGCTCTCTCCGTCTGTATCGGCAGAGGCAGCAGGGACACAAGACCACTGCAGCCGGCACCAGCGAGGAGGAAAGACCACTGTGACTGCATTCCCCTGCTGCCCCCTGTACCTCTGCTGCTGCCCCGGTCCTTCTCTGCCCCCGTGCCTCCTCTGCCCCGTCCCCCATTCTTCCTCTGCATCTAGAGGCTGGGAGCCATACCCAGACTGCTAATCGATATTTTTAAATTATTATTACACAGGATTTATAGAGCGCCAACAGTTTGCGCAGCGCTTTACAATATAAGGAAGACATTACAATCACAATACAATTCAAGACAAGATGGTAAGGAGGGCCCCGCCACTGAGAGCTTACAGTCTAAAAATGCAATAGGCAACAAAGTCTATTATTCTGCACTACATGGTTATGTCTACCATGCGTCTCAGTGCGCTGTGTGCTGCATATCCAAGCACCAGACTGACCCTTTTCCTCCCTATGTTTTTCTGGCTTCTTCCCACAAAGCAAAAACACACTGGCAGGGTAATTGCCTTTCACTCAGACCTTGTTCTAGCAGACGTTCAGAGTGAGCAAAAACTAATGTCGTTCAAATATAAAGTTTGAAGTATTGAAGAAAAAGAAAGTAAGAAACATATGTAGGACTGTGGATTCAGTGCTGCCACTTGGAAGCATAGTGAGAGGTGGGCTTGGAGGATGTCCAGACTAAAATAGAACTTGGTTCTTACAACGTATCTGGAGGTTGTGCTGGGAGCCGGCATGCACTTTCATGGAGAAAATCTTAGCATACTTTAAAAGATGTACAGTTGGCAACACAGAAAACTAAAGTCCGTAGCCTACTATGCCAAGACTAACAATCATTTCTGGAAAATCTCAGGGCTCTTCACAGCTATTTTCCATGCCAACTACCTTGTGCTCACCATGGATGTCATGAGCTTGGAATGCCGGCCTAATAACAATCCTTTTACAGTATTGCCATGGTGTTTATCAGGATACAATGCATGGAAAGAGAGACCATGATTATGGACCAGTACAAATGAGCCCAGAGTGTAATAAACGACAGAGACACAACAGAATGTATACAATGCAGCAATAATCATCTGTTACCGGATACATAACACAGTAAATACAGATCCTCATTTTTATACTTACCACAGCACAGGATGGACACGACTGCCCCGTCCTCCACTTGAAAAACACAACTAAAGTATTAAGTATGTGAATGCATTATAAATTAAAGAAGAACTCTGGGCAAATGCTTTAATGAACCCTTGTAGTGGACTATCCCTGCACTGCAAGGGTTAACTGATCGTTGTGGTCTAGGGAGGAAAATAAAAACATTATACTCACCTGAACCTGAGATCCTCTGGTCTGGTCCCTAAGGGTCCAGACCAGATCTGCATGAGTTTCTGCACATGCGGTGCAGTGCGTTTTGCCCCGTTTTGGGCTGGCTTTTTTTTTTTAGTCTACAATTGGCTTTCAGTGCGTTTGCATGCGTTTTGGTACGTTCCGGAGCAGGAAAAAAAATAGGGCATGCTGCAGTTTCTCCACATGCTCTGGAACTGAACGATGCGGTGTGAACTACAGCCCCAAATACGATTGGAATACATTGGTTGCATTTTTGATGCGTTCTGTAACTGCTCTGCATCTATTCTGCACTTGGTGTGAACAAGTCATCATGGTTTATACACAGTTTATAGGACATGAGGACGCCGAGGGACATAACATTGCTGCAGCGAAGGAGGAGACAGGCAGGAGAGAGCACTGTCACAGCCGGCTGGGAGGATTAATATAATCCTTAGGGTTAATATAAATGTTGGTCGGAGTTCTACTTTAACCCTGTCCCTGCCACTGATGCAAGACTTACGGCGGAACACAACCGCTTCCAGCTGACCAGTTCAGTAAGCCTTATGTCGGTTGTTTTCCCCTTCTGCTATAAGCACATAGTACAAAGGGGTTCTCCTGACAGTCCCCTTTAAATCAATCGCTGTCATCATTGGCTGAAAACCTATTAACAAAAATTCCGTCCGGACCCTAAGGATCTGTTTCTCTTTGGATCCCCGCTGCTCTCCCCAGCTTGTATGTGCTGAGGCATCAGGGATCCAGGAAAAAATACATTGCTAAAGCCAGCAGGGAGGGAGGAGGAGGGAACCACTGTATTCAGGATTGCCAAGCCGAGAGGAGAGCAGAGCCGCTGTCATCCTGTCAGTTTCCGGATGACAGCGGCTGTGTGTCGCAGAGAGCTTCAGGATGGAGAGCGGGAGGATTGGTAAATATCTGTGATATCAGCAATATTTACCAATCCTCTGTGTGCAGCACAAACACTGGAGTTATAAGCTGATTACTCCAATGTTTGTAAACGACTGGGGACTCATACTATGTGTCCCCAGTTATGAATGAACAGGAAGTACTTTACATCACTTCCTGTTCATTCATGATTTTCTGAATGGGTAGTAACACTCACTATAGAGGCTTCTACCCATTCATAACTGGATGATAGTAAATACCAGTTTCTGAATGAATCGGAAGCCTCTGTACCGAGTGCTCGGTTTTCTCAATTTATTTTTTATTTGAAAAAGAAAATAAATAAATAAAACACAACCTCCTTACCCCACACACACACATATATATATCATACATGTACAACGGTGTGCACCATATTGTGGTGTATGCCATGCACTGCGTTGTTAGAACACATTGCAGTGCTTTATTTTTTCTTTTTTAAATAACATTAATTTAACTGTGTGGCAGTGCATGGCAAAGTGTTGTGACGCATTGCCGTGCGTTGTGATACACTGTGTTGCAATGAAATGTACGCAATTATCATTTTATCACAACACACACACCAACACAGCGCAAACGATTTCTAACATAAGTTATTTACAGATTTGCGCTACTTCATTTTACCTTTTTGCAAAAAGACGCAATTTAAAATTTACAAATATTTGTTATTTATTAACTCGACAGTTTTATCTTTTAGATTTAGTCAGAAAAGTATTTTTTGTGCACCGATACTGATTTTAGTGCATTTTTAAACGGAATTGTGCATTTGTATCTGTTTTATATTGATTTAATAAACATTTGCGCAATTATCGCAGGACCGACAAAATTATTAGCACCATCTTCTTATTCTACCGGGCCTGCGCTTTCAGAAAATATATGGTTTGGGGGTCTTTTACAAACGCTAACAACGCAGAAGTAGAGGTTCTAAGTGTTCCCGGGGGGCTTGGCAACGAAAGAGTTAAATCTAAAATACAACAATATGGTGAAGAAAATGAATGCTGGGCCCGTTCACACCCATTGTGATAATTGCATGATATGTGCATGCACTCGTATTTTACGGTATTTGATTGCAGTTGATTAGCGCAGCACATAGGTGTAAATGGGCCCGCTCACAATGTGTGTGATTTGTATGTGCCTGTCTCTCTCTAAAAGGGAAACTCCACCTTTGAGTATTGTAAGGCAGAGCAGCGATCGTTCTACACCCGGCATATTCTTATTGGAAGGAAGCTAGCGAGGGAACTAAGATGCATTTTTATTACATCCCCCCCAATTGTGCCACATTTTGTCTTTCTCTGGAAGCATGTTGTTTTCCAATCACTTCAACATCAGAGCTTTCCATATCAAAAACTTACAAAACTGCAGGAAAATATCTGCCGTCAAAGAGGGTAAAATGCTGTGAAAACGGAAAGCAAATCTTTTGTTAAATTTTAGAAAGAAGCGCAAACTCTACGGGTTTGACTGGCCACAGGAGAAGCTTCATAAGCCTGCATGCGTAAAATGGAATGGGCGGCTAAAAGGATTTTCATATAGCAGTCAAGTAACCAGAAATTCACTTTTTAGGCAAAGTCTAAAAATAGTAGGGAGTTTTTTTATACTATATTCCAAAAGTGAGAGGCGCAAAGGGGGAGGAAAAGCAACATAGACGCTCCAACATAGCCAGAAGCAACGTATGCTGCACAACACACCGCTCATCCATATGTATGCTAAGCTAAATAAAAACAGGTGAGTGAGGAAACAAGACTTCACCGATATGGTTCCGGTGCCCGAACTAACACCGTACTTCTCACGGCTCTGGTGTCCCTCTTCAGGGGAATGAGAACAACGGGATTTATGGACTTTTAGGAGAAAATTCTTGGCTGCCAATCAGTAAGGCTCCATTTACACACAGTGGTAGCGTTTCCCGCACAGTTTTACATTGTGCAAGTGTTAACATACAGGCAGATTCCACGCGTTAGCGGCTATTACTATAACCGGAACGTGCGGAATCCACCCAGAAAATCTTGCTTGGTCTTTTTTCGGGGACGTGCGTTTTCTTACCGTAGTGTGAACAATTTACATTGGAACGCATTGTTTTTTTTATGTTTAGCGCATTTCTGCGCATACTAATATGCATGGAAACTGCTCATGTGTGAATGGAGCCTAGAAACCTTTACCTTGACAGGAGTGAGCACCTTGCCTGGACTCATACAGGTTTTATTCCTCACATTTCATTAGAATGAGTATTGATGTTTCAGAGATAAGATCTGACATGAAGGATGGAAATGGAAAATATCAGAATGCGAATGCCGAGAGTCACCAAGATTTTCTGGACCCGTTGC